CTTTCGTTGTGAAAGCGCCACACCTCGCTTCCTTGGCAGCCAAGCTACTGCTTCATGTGGCCATACACTTCCCCAATGCGCTCCCTCTTTATCGTAATCGCTATCCTTTACCTACAAATACAGCCGGTGTTCAAAGCACATTTGTATTTCCAGAAAAAGTCCATGTCCAAAAAAACAGAGGAGAAGAGAGGAAGCCTGATTCAGGTCAGGATCTACTGGCAATGGAAAAGGTTGGGCCTTCAGCTACGTCAATCAGCTGTACCCGTTGTTCATAGAGTATCTCGCGGGCGCCAGTTATGCCCCTATTCGTCCTCTCGTGCTAGAGTGCTGTAATAGTTTCCTTTTGCTCGACAACAAGCTCATCACTCCGTTACTTCAGAGCTTTTGCGAAAGTTTGACCAAACTCGTTTGTATTCCCAACAAAACGCCCGTAAACACAAGGCGCTTCTTTACCTTAGCATAAGAGTTTGGTTGTGACTTAATTTGTGCTACTAGTGACAGGCCATTTTCTTCAGTGGCATGAACAAACAAATGAACCTCCTAGTAAGTAAGAAAAATAGAAAGATATCATGTAACAATAAGAAGATAAGTGGCATATTTGTTCAACAGCGGCTCCAAATGAGAGAGTCATTCAAAACGTCACCAAACAGGAAAGGTTAATGGATTCGGTGATAACATAAAATCCATCTTTGGGATGCACTAGGCTTTCTCAATCACGGCAGTGACGTTCCTACTGCGAACTAGGCCAGCACAACGAGGCCAGCCGATATACAAGTCAGTGTGATCCTCCCAGACAACCCTGGTACCGACTGCCGATAACACACCTCCAGGAGACGGAAGCCGATCTAAACGGCGCACAACCAGGATTTCATTGTTGAACGTAAGCCTGTTAAACAGCACCGCTTGCCTATACATCACTTCTGCTCCATGAAATTCTTGGGTATAATACTGATTAATTCCGCAATATGCCATTCATTTAATGTCATCGCAAGTTATAAAAATAATTTAATAAGGTAAAGCAGGATTAAATGAAGATTCAGGTAATTCGGCGAATAGCGATAAATTAGAATCTGAAGGGAGCGCAAGTGGAGCCATCGTTCGCTCACCGTTCCACGCAGTCACGCCACTTTTCGCGGGGATGCTGTAAAACAAAGATCTCGCCGTGGAGACTGGACGAGTTTTTGCTTCAGAGCTAGATCAAGCGGTGATTCCGGATCTTGCTGATGTGACTAGACTTCTAGTTCTTACTTTTTCACCTGCTATTGACTTTTTTGTTGTGTGTCCTTCGAATGTCCTCAACAAGAATGAATTGGTAAGGATTAATAAAAAGTTTTTGGCGTGCATTGACCATAACGGTGAGGAATGCTTTGGAAATGCGTGTATCATGCACAATGCTAAGTTTATCCGATCAGCAATGGCATCAATGCTATGCAATTTGAAAGGCACAACCCAGGCAGAGGTCGTGTGAACGCTTCCCTTCGGTCTGTAGTATAGACCCCTAGAGGACAATCACAAATGTGGCGTTCCCGTGCACGGAAACCAACCGACAAGAGCGCTTGGGCCTTGCAAAGTAAGCTGCTGAAGCTGCAGATTTTTTCTCTTATCAGGCTGTTGTCTGGCGCTCTCTCATCTGTAGCGCTCTCTCGCCTCATACTCTCCTCTCCGCGCTTAGTCTCTCATTCCCTTAGCACAGCCGATTAGGAAGGTGAGTGAGCCCTTAACCTGAGCGTTTTCGACGGATTCTTTTCCTTTTTTCTTTACTGCCGGCCCATTTCGCACCAATACATTCGCATTCGTGTGCAAGAGCCACACCAATGTGATCCTGGGGCATGCTTTTTAACCAGTGTGAACTTACGGCTTTCCTAGTATCCAATACACGGGGTGGGCCAAATATGAGGACAGCGTGTGCGCGGAGTCATGTCCACATCTCTTCAACTCGCTCCATCTCCATCTCCTTTTCTGTGCACTATGTGAAAGGGTTCAATGCCTTCTTCCTACTGAAAGAAATATCGTGCAGTTCTCAAATTTGTACATTCGCAGTGGCTTTTGAATCAATTGAGTATAGTGACCTATTACAACGACTTGCGAGCGGCAGCCGATTTCAAGCCAGTGTTTTTGGGCGGAAGTGGTGTAGTGACAAGTGGCGCGCTTACCACGCGAGCGGTCCGGGGATCAAATCCTGGGTCGTGAGTCGCCCGGGCCAACCAAGCCTTCCATCCCTCCGGGGTCGGTTAATTGGTACCAGACTTGTCTGGGAGGATAAAAACACTGACTTGAACATCGGCTGGCCCCCGCAAGTCATTGTATAGGCCACATCGCATTCAAATGCCACTGCGAATGTACAAATGGAAGTAGAATGCGTGCCGCATCCCAAAAAGGGATTGATCAACGGCAAATGCTTTATCTTTTTATTTATTATCAAAATTTATGAAATACGTACATCAAGTGCTTCACTCCCTGAAATTAGCTCACCAGGGTTCTGTCATCGTGCATCTACCGGCACCTCAACGTTCCGCGGGAAGCCTTTTAACGGGCGTTCAACCTTCAATAAGTTTAGGTCCAGAGATGACCTACAGATTGAATGCGGAGGGTTCAACATTTCCGCGTATGTTTGAGGGAAAATAAGGAGTTAGTACAAAGCAGGCTGTTGAGTATGTTGCATTCGGGCCTTAGAAAAAAGGGCCAGAAGGGATTGAGGGTTATCAACGTAATTTGGATTAGAGCGAGCACGTGCTTTCTGCCTCGCCTATTCGAACCCCACATTCCTCTATATTTCCTGAACTCTCAAAAGGGTCTACTAGTATGCTCGCCAAAACATATCAACACAAGCGAGCTGAATTAGCATAGGCAAAGCTTTCTCCCAGATTAACATGCGAAGCGGTAACGGCAATAATAAAAAGGTATTTTTGCTTCTGCATAGGTGGGGGGGTTTTGAGGACCGTGGAACCAAACTACCTATCACTGAATATAACAAGACCTAGCATTGCAGGTCGTTCTAAAGATTAATGTGTCCCTAATGCAATGGTGCCATTGTCGCAATAAGACCGTTCCAGTCCCGGACTTGCCGAAGACGCCCGCGACCCCGAGATACTTCACGATCGGTATATTTTGTATACCAGTCAGTCATGTGCGCACTTATCTGATACTAGCACTCTGTGAGCCAATCGGCGAACCGGGTAGTTCGATTATGTCTGAGCCGCAACGTCGGTACGCGCGTGCATTAGCGATAAGCAGTAGGCGACCGGGTTGGGCTCAATAGTGAACGCACAGATCAATAAATATCCTTCTCTTCTCGCTCCCAGCCCCACGCATCGTTACTCGCTTTACTCGCCTATCGACTACTCGCCATACTTACCAATCGCCAATCGCCATATGAAAGCCTATAAAGTTACTACAGGGGAGACGCAGATTCGAGCAGGGTCTAACTAACTCACCACCCCCTTTTATTCACAAACCTAGCAGGGTCAACCGCCACGTTCGAACATTTTTCGGGATTTTTGCGACCCCCCCTTCTCGAGAGGGACCAGTTGCGACACCCTTCCCAACCGGACAGTTGCGACCCCCCCCAATACAACCAGCCTTCCTCCACCGCGACCTCTCCCTCTTTTATAGTATTTGATTCTGAGACCAGTTGACACAGCCCAAAACCTACCTAAAACTCCGAAACTCCACCCACTTTTTCCCCAAAAATAGCCGTCGAGGGGGGGGTATATACAACCAGTGAAACGGCAACTTTTTTCGCACACACCTATGCCCTGCGCCACTAATCACCAAGGCGCGCAATGCGACCAATGCGACCCCCCTCCCTTCCCACACACACAAATGCGACCCCCCGTTGGAACTGTTTCGAACGGACGGTTGACCCTGACCATAATCCTTCAGAATCCGATGCAAAATAATTCTTAAGCATTTCATTTCATATTTGATATCACAACCAGAATGTCCCCGTCGCCACCAGAACCCTACGTTTGCCGTTCGCCTCGTCCAACCAGAGTCAACCCTGCGTTGCGCAGTTCGCAACGGCACGTTGAGAGATCCTCAACGCACGCTGTATGGGCGGAGACACAGACGGCTCGAGCATGCGAGTGTGAATGTTCGCGCGAGAGAACGTGTCTAATCGGGCGAAACTGCGCAACGTGGCCGTTGAAAACTGCGCAACGCAGGGTTGACTCTGGTCACCCTGGGTATACATACACTTTGTGCGTATAGGATCGCTCCAGTTCAACGCAAGCTGCGTAACGAATGGACGACTTTCTCAAATCACTTCCACACAATGTCCCCGTCCCACCCCACATAACACTTGTAAGTATGGTTGCTCTGGTGTCAACGCGAGCCAGGCAACGGAATCGACGACTTTTGCGTTCTAGCGCATCTTATCAGCCATTATCAGTTGCTATCGCTTCCAATCATGTACCACCAATGTTCCCGGGACCGCCCCACATAAGACTTGTAAGTATAGACGCTCTTTACCATATGAAACGAAACAAATCTGCGATGCCGCTTCTAGCCTCTTATCAGCTATTATCAGTCGTTATCAGTTCCTATCACGTACCACTTGTGTCCCCATCCCACCCCCTATAACATATGTAAGAACCACTGCGCTATCGTTACTGTGACTCGAGCTATGAATTTCGTGACAAACACACACACAGACATACTTAGCGAATTATATATAGTAGGATGCTCGCGTCAACAAAATCAACCACCCTCTTTCGAGGAATGGCGCAGTACGACTTGGTGGGAATGATGCCGTGTAAAGATAACGCCTTCCAGAGTAGGTGATGAAGTGTGCCTCATTTTCTAACTAGAACCACTCGGAGCGGTACGGTGCTCCTACATTTCTGTAGTTATGGCAGACAAGAAACGAAGCGAACGTAAGGAAAAGGTATGCATACTGCACTAACATTATTTGCCATGGTAATCAGGGTGTTCCAAACGGGTCGTTTTCATCTTTTCTCATTTTTCGATTCGGCGATTCCAAAAGCTGTGTACTTTTGCAGATCCGACGATGGCTTCAATCAATAGTTGATCGATTAACAAAGGATTGGAAGCCGGCACTGTGCCAGTCGTTATTCACTGAAGCTGAACTCATTGAATTGTGCTATCGGGCAAGAGAGACATTTTGGAGTCAAAAAACTATGATTGAGGTAGGATTTGCGCTGAAGTCGTGCTAAAGGCTCCGTGCCAGTAAGGAAGGTGGTGAGGGATAACCCTCAATTAAGGCTGAACTATCGCAGATGATGACATAGTGGTCAACTAAATCACCAGTATGATTTCACAGTAGCAAGGCTCATCACTCAAACATTGAAGATGAAATGTCGACTGTACGTGCGCGAAACGCTTACATAACATGTGGACGAGCGCAAGTCGAGCAGCAACTATGTTGTGTTTTGACCACCAACCAACCAATGTTTTTGTGGATGTGCAAATGAGTTGATATCGGTCAGCGATTGTCAAATGGAAACTTGATGGGCTCTGGAGTACAAGGAGGGGGTGGGCTTGAGGCAAGGCGGCAAGGGAAGGGGTCCATTTCTCGGGTTCTGGGCCGTTTCTCATGGTTCTTCCTTCTTTCGTGTACCACTCACCATCCCTTAATTTGAAATGGGTTGCTTTTCCATCGTGAATTCTGTCCTGAAGAGTTTATGTTCTGCCGGGCGATTGTTTATAATCAACCTCTCTCGTATGATCCTTCACAATCTGCTTAGCTCGGACTGCTTTTCTGACCCCAGAGAAACCGCTACACGCATCATCATCATTTGATAGCCAGAAAAAGTTTCCTTCTCCGTAAATATCCAACATCCTT